CAACATAGTAATTATCATGACAGGCTTAGACCAGACTGATATCCCTCTGTATGAAAAATACTGAGAGAAATCATTCTGGACTTGCCAAGAAAATGGTACTCCTGAACCCAAAAGCAAATTATAAAGATCCTGATGGAAAAAACTGCCAACATTTGAGTTGAGTTAAGGTTGCATATAAGAGTTATGGAGCATATGGCAAAAAAGAGGAAAATTTAAAACCATCTTTTACCACTGTATAATATTATTTCAGTTGCCTTGTAGCAGTTTTTGGATAGTTTTTGGAGATTTATTGGACAGAGTATCGTGGCACTGGCACTATATCTTTACCATATGTTTGATTCTCTCTGTAAGTCCAAATCTAATATAAACACTGAACTACACAGTATTCACCATCTCCATTACTTACTGCTATTTACAATTAGTCAGTGTCACTATATATAACTCTGTGTTTTATCCTGAATCATTGGTCCACGCATGAAAAGCCCCAGCACTGAGAACCTAGCTTCATTTGAATTCCCGTGACAGCCAGCAGCTATTGTTTTGCTGCAGATTTATGATGCTGGGTTACACCTTCAACATTAAACTCCCCATGTTAATATGTTTCTCATAGAGTGCACTGCCACCGCCGAACCAGCCCAGGCTTAATTTATTGTGGCCCAGAGGAGGTGACGCTGACAGTGCACTATACAGAATACAGAGGCAAAACAGGCCACAGAGAAGAAGTCAGCGGCCGGGCCTCCCTCCGCTTGTGTTCCAAACGGCTCGATACAGAGTGAAAGGTGAGAGCGCTGTAGGGCAGCCAGACGTAACAGTGATCAGAGAATAGGAGCCAGTGGAACAGACAGGAGTCACCCAGTCGCAGACACACAATAATATCACAAGTAGAAGGCATTAGGCTCTGGGCTTTAACAGTAATTCCTAAAATGAGTGACACGGCTTGTATTCAGTTGTTACTTTCATTACTTTGGTTTCAACTCTTTCTATGTAAATTATTATTCTAAATGATCATGCTTAAATGGTGTCAACAAGAAGACATGACAAGTATGTTGCATTGATTTGATCTGGTTTATATGACAGCAGCTATGGGTGTCAGGCTGTGGGTGACAGATCTCTGTGGGGGCAACAGCAGATTAGTTGGTAGAGTTTGTTTGTCCACTGATGCAAACATTGGCAGTTCAAATCCCACTGTTGACACAAACATGATTAGTCGAGTGGTCATCAGACCCACAGATGAATGCCTTCATTGTGTCTTTGAGCAAGACACTTAACCCACCTCGCCTCAGTGTCTGTGCAGTCTGATGTGTGAATGTGTGTGTGAATGGGTGAGTGGTTCCTTGTTGTAAAGTGCTTTGAGAGTCTTGAAGGTGGAGAAGTGCTATTTACAAATGTGACCATTTACAGTGATGTCAGTATGAAATGCTGCTAAATCTTTAATGCACTGTCCACTAAAAGCACTCGAAGTCAGTTGCAGTGAAGTTGCAAACTTTTTATTGTGAGGAAGGAATGCTAACCACTCTGCCACATAACACATATTTTATTATGTGTTTGCTTATTTTGGTCATTTTGACTCCTGAAGCCAACCGAGAGCTCTCAGAAGATCCTTATTGTAAAGAGACCTCTTAATCATAATTAGTTTCTCACTGGATTTCTATGCATATGTTTTATAAACTCTAATCATTCTGCAAGTTTAGATCATGCAGCTTTTACATTCCACTTTAAGTCAATAATACGCATTCATAATTTATACGATTTTATAATTAAGTGTAAGGCTCATTTTTGAATGGAAGTCTTCAAATCCACTTAGAGTTAAATGGATGAACGGTCCGTCTGTCAGCACATTTAAAACGCACACACTCGTGGCTTTGGTCCCTCGAGACGTTTAAACAATTCCCTTGTGTTAGCGGACAGGTGCTCGCTGCCACACCCCAGCGCTAATACCCATTTAGCATACATCATTTACTTATTGGTTACTAAGAGATTCCACTAATAGCTATGGAGCTGTCCCAGTGGCCCTTCACAGTCACCCCTCCCATGGGCCTTTGACCTTATTCGACCCTCCATTTGAAGCGTCTCCTGCTTTCTTCTCCTATAGTTCTTCTTATTTCTAAAGGAAATAGAAAATGGTGGCCCAAGTGCTTGTGTGATCTGACTAAAGCTCGTGTGATTTCCCTTGAGAAGGCCCTGGCAGTCCCCTCGATGCTGGCTGCCGCTGAGGGCTGCGTGCCTCTCCTATCTTCACAGCTGACAGGGAGCTGCTGAAGCGGGGGCTGGAGAAGGCTGGGGAGATAGACAAAGCAATGTGGATCCGGGGGAAATTGAAATATTCTAATGGGAAGTGGGTGTGAACAGGCCTGTCACTGCAGGTGTATGGAAAATGGAGCTTTGGACTGGGCTATTGTGGAGGTGTCTGCGTTGGTGTGTCGTATATTGAGAGCATAAATGACTAATGAATTACTCAGGCTAATTAATTTGTCTAAGGTAAGCATAGGAAATTCAAGGTTTGGCCATTTTGTGCCACCTTTCTGGCAATGATATTATCTATTCAATAAGTTACTGGATATCTCTATAGAGGCCATTTCAAATTGGAATTGTTTTTAATTATTCAGTTTTCAGCTTTATGTGTTTCTCTTAATAATCCAGAAATAAAATCTCTTAAAACTTAAATTAAAACTCAAAGCTACTTCAGATACTTAATAGTATCAGAAGAAACAGATTTAGCTTAAGAACATTAACAACTGTATTAAAGAGGAATGCAAACCAGTATGAATTATAAGCTACTTTGTCAGCTTATTACATATTCATTTTCACCATGAATGTAAAAAATTGCTAACACAAAATAATACAAGAAGCTGTATCTGGTGTATTGGAGTTGAGTGTGAAGAGAATGGAGTGTCTCCTTTAAGAACTACCTGCATCAAACCAAAGGACTGGTCTGGCTGACTGAGGACACTTCCTGGCACTGTTGTCTATTCATGTAATCAGAGTGTGAGGCCTGCCCTTGATCAACAACATGAGTGGGCGTTGCTAGCCAACCGTTTGCTATGGCGGCCATCCAAGCCCAAGACACAGCCGTTGCTGGGAACATTTCATCAGAGCCTTCTTATCGGCTGTTGATCGCCACCACACTCTCCATTCACACGGCTGTCTCCTGCTCTTACTGTATCTCACTATGGACACAACAAACACCAGTTCTGTGCAAATAAAGCTAAGGCAAATACAATGAGGACATGATATTAAGTTAGTGTTTATTTTTGGAGTACAGCTTTTACTTCCCATACCATGTAGGTTTGCAGTTAGAATCATGTTTTTCTGTGGTCTCTTAGAGGATGTAACATCAACATTGCTTGTGGTAGAGATATCACAATATCAAACTGTGTTAATAACAGTGAAGTCTTCAATTCTTCACTTTCATCCACTTTGACAAATAAATCACTGTTCCTATTGAGTGGCCAGCTTCATGAAATGAATGTGGCATAAGCAGATTGAGAAATCAGTTTACACGTAGGTGTGTGTTTCAGGGCATAGATTGAAAAATAACATGTTTTTGCTTCTTGCTTGTAATGTTTCCTTAATAGAGGGCTCAGTATAGATGAGAGCTTTGTAATGGAACATTAAGGCTAGTGAAAAGAATCACATTCTACATTTTTCACATATTCTTAGGCCTCAAACACAGGGGGGAGTAATAAGACTTTTTGTAGACAGATATACTGTATATATTCACCTCAAGCATTTTATGGTTGAATGGGTCAGTTATTTCCAGAGAATTAGAAAATCCTACATTTGAGTCTTGATCTGGACTTGAACAACAGCTCTTTTTACATACTCCTGAAGTGAAACCAGTCCGACTGCCCATCACCTCATCTGTATGTATGATAGCAACTGTTTTTGATAACTGCTGTTTTTCTTATCTCCTCCTTCCTGCCTCCATATCAGTTTTCAGAACACAGCGTGCCAACAAGACAGACTCAGGATTAATCACCACGACGCTGACACACGTTTTGGGCTTGAGCTGCTAGAATCATTTGTCTGTGGTTTGTTTTCTGCCATGGAATAACAGGACAGGCAACCATGCTACATTCCACTAGACAGGTCCACATTACAATAGGAGCTTTGAAATGATCCGTTTTGTGTAAATATGATGACTACTTTTAAACACACTTTACCTGATATTTACTCTTCTCAAAACATAATAAACAAAACTACTTTACTGTAAACAGTTTACAGAGGTCCAAAGTTATTCTTCACTTACCTCATACATTCCTACCATCTTAATTATTCAGACTGATGGGTTTATAAGCTTCTTTCCCAACGTTCTGAGGCCAGATGTTTTTTGCTGTCACAGTAATGCTAACAACAACTAGCATGCTAATGGCGCACTTCCTGGTTCTCTGGAAATAAAGCACTTTATAACTACACGCAGACAGCACACAGTGAGAGCTCTTTATATAATATATCTGTACTGGTGTAAAACTAATTTTGTTAAACTACACAGAATCTTTAATTATATCTATATTTTTGTTTAGAAAGCCGTAAACAACAGACACAACCTTCCTTGTTTTTGTTGTATTTTTAACCAAGCACGGCCTTTGGAGCATTGCCATTCGTGCTAGTTGTCAGGAAATTTCACCACAAGAAAAACTAACAGCAGTGACCTCAACCTGGCGCTCTTTCCCTGTGTTTTTGAAGCATTTCCGCGACACACAATTTCCTCTGGTTTGTCCATGAATCCGTAGCACATCCACACACGCGGAATTTTCATGATTGAACATTTAACAGCTTGACGGACTGATAAACTGCCAGTTTTTTCCCCCCATCTTTCCTCACAATTCCTAGAGAGATGCTTTGAAGGCTGTGATGGATTTGTCTTTGTTGATTTCTCTTTCCCCATGATGGTGTCAAGTGATCACCAAAGCTTCGGTGTACTCCCGCTACGACAATTCTACTTAAAATATCTTGTTCTGAGGCTAACGGCGGTTCTTCTGTCTGTTTTGTTCTTGCAGAGACATTGATGGACACGCGGGTGGCCACAGCGGAATTGGGCTGGACAGCATACCCAAACTCAGGGGTGAGTAGAAGACACATAAAACCATTTTTACACTGACATGTTATTTTTTATGGGAAATCTAAAGCTCAACTGTAACTTAAGTTAGATTGATAAAACATCCAAGTGCTGTTTTAACCATCAGAGTGAAAATAAAGACTATTGCGTGAGGAATAAAGAAAAAAAAATAAAAAGAAAGAGAGTGGAGAGTGGAGAGACCATATGTTTTTGAATGACTTGAGAGGTGATTAGTTTAAAGGCAAAGATGGCAGGCTGTGATTGACTGTTATCAATGATTAAGGTGTGACTGTGGGTACTCAGTGTTTATACTAGTGCACGCCAGCCAGCCAGAAGGTCTGAAGTTCGATCCCAGTTCTGCCAAATGAATATTGCGTCCATGGTATATTAATGGGTTTTAGCTTCTTGTTACATACAGCATTTTTTCCAGCTTCAAAAGATATAATATTTAGTTTTTAATTGCTATGTCAACCGTCCTAATTTTTCATCACTCTGAAATCGTCTAAGGCTACATTCAGACTGCAGCCTGAAGTGACCCAAATCCAGTTTTTTGCCTCTATGTGACCTGTATCTGATCTTTTAACGACACAGATCAGATTTTTTCAAATGCAACCCAGACCACTTGGATATGTGCTCCTAAAACCGATACATATTCGATCTTTTGACATGCGACTTCAGTGTGAACGGCCAGGTCGCTTTCATCCGACCCACACGTCAGGTACGGAGTCTAGTCAATGGAGGGAAAGCGAGGTTAGCGAGTTAATTAATATTAGGGGGGATCACTGTATTCAAGCCAAATTGGAGGAATCTTTTCGGAAGCAGGTGCTTTTTGAAATGATCGCCAAAGAAATGGCCGAGCGCAGCTACAGGCGGTCTTGGCTCCAAAAAATAAAGACCCTGCGAGCCAAATATAAGAAGGCTAAAGTCTCAAACAAAGCGGTCGTGAGCGTGTAACCTGTCCATTTTACGAAGAACTGGACCGTATTTTGGTAAACAAGCCCAGCGTTTAGGCTACTTACTTAAACACTGAGCATGCTTGCTGCTTGTGACGTTGTCGTGTTCTCCAGTGTGCATGCGGGACACTTTTGGGGTGTTTAAAGTTCACGCTGGAGATCACATGCAAATTGCATTTAATTGGAAATGTGAACAACCTCGCAAAAAAATCTGATTTCACAAAAAAATACTAATTGAGCCCTGCAGTCCGAATGTGGTCTAAGGGTTTTTAGAAGTAACAAAAACAGAAAGAGTATATTTCACTTCTAGGTCTAAATTATCTATAGCGCCATCCCCAACTCACTGTCATCCTATACATTGTACCCTCAAAATGTATTGAGTCTTGGTCAGTCCTATTATAGTGTGTGGACTCTGTAATACCATCAGAGATTTACAGCTTTTGTCGGATCTATCCCATAAAATATTACACAGGCGAATAGACGGGCTGAAGAATAGGAGAGGAGACTTAGCGCTGCCCAATGTAGCTGCTATCATGGCTATTATTTTCTCAGTGTCCCGGCTGGTAATGACTTAATAACATAATGGGCCCATGAAAGCTCAGGACATAGTACCTTAGTCCTTGCAAATGGTGGCTGCAGGGATCCCATAGACATAATGATTCCGTAATGATACATTTATCCAGGGAAGAGAAAGTATTAAAACGGGAGAGGCGGAGTTAGGAATGCCCCGGGCCCTGATTTGATACCAGACTGTTTCCGACATTGAGGAAGTTTCAGCCAAATTGGAGAGGTTACTTAGAAAAGTCCCAAGTCATCAGTAAAAACTAAGCTTTCATTTTATCAGTATCAGTGTGATTGCTCTATTGCTGTAATGGACCTTAAGAGAAGTATATGGCCTTGTACTGCACTCTGTAATTCGATAACTTCATAAAAAGCTCTATACTATATGGCAGAGACTTGGAGGAACAATCAGGAACAGACAGTGAAGGATGTGCTATTTTCCAGGGCTTTGGGACTTTGTGAGGCTTTTTACACAGGTCATATAACAATTTACGTAACCCTTGTAAATGTAAAATGGTGGTCCATGCCATCATCTTTCAAATGCTATTATATCTGTGAAGATTACTAAATAGTAAAATCTACGTCTGTGAAGATTCCCAGTCATCAATCTTAAAAGGAAGTAATCTTTGCTTTGAGAGGTATTTTTAACTAACTTATAAAAGCAGCGGCAGAGTGGGAGTCAAATCTTTCATAGAAGGTGCAAGGCTCTTTCTTTGTAGCCTTGGGTAGATTTGCTTTAGCCTGATTCATCAGCCGGTTTCACTTCGTGGAAACCGTCTGACCTCGCAGCATTAGGATTCATTCACTCAACAGTAGGCGGGTGCTTCAATCGATGCTATTTCAGTGGTGTCCAAGTAATTGCCGGAACAACAGGAAAAAAAAAAAAAGCAGAGAGTGAACATGTCTGTCAATGATCATTATCGTTTCTGCGATATGAAGTTGCAAATTAAAGGTGCAATAAAAGGAAGTCCAAAGGGGATAGCATATGCAGTCTACTGCTACTCAGGTTGGTTCAGCTGTTTCCTGATTGGCCAGTGCGCAGTGTACAACTTCCGGGGTTCTTGCAAACCGTCTCGTGTATTCTGATTCCAGACCTAGTCGCTGGAGAGAAATAAAATTGAGCAGAGGCACTAGGTGGCACCAGCCTGACTAGATTTGATTTGCAGTGAATTAATATTAAAGGTGCTTTATGTAAATTTCCCGGTCTTTCATTTTATTGCTTTGCCTAAAATGTTCCACAGTATATCAACCTTCTGCAGCATTTATAGTGTATTGATTAAATTGCATATGTTTTGTTTTTGTTTTGTATTTTTTGCCTTTAGAAACTGGAATTCTTAGTGAGTGGGTCCACCTCACAACAAATCTGAGCCGAATATTGCCTCCCAGGCCTGGATGTCAAAGTTTAATGTCATACTGTAGAGTTACATAGTGCAACTTTAAAGTGAGTGTACAAATATAATTACTAAACTAAACAATTTTATTTCTCCATGCCGTGTAGCTATTTATTAGACCAAATTAATAATTGATTGTCTGAACACTTGAACACTTTTGAGTGGTGTTGCTTAAATGTCAGCTTAAACACACACACTCACACACTGATTATCTTGCCATAACTTTTTCCGATCTGTAAAATTGAACTTGACCTAGCCCTTGCAGCAGTTAAAGATCCTATATTAAGCAAAATCGACTCTTGTGAGCTTTTAAGCCATGTTAGAATATTGTTACCTCCTCAAAACCATACCCAGAGTTGTGTTTTGTTTCATTCACACATGTTTGAGTAACTCTTTATTTTTAGTCTGTTAGTCTGTCTATATTTCCAAAGCTCAAAATGCTCTGTTCCAGCTTGTGATGTCATGAAGTGATAGTTTTCAAATTAACAGCTTTTGCCTTTAGTTCAGTAAAGATAGTCAATTCCAAGGCTGGAATTATACAGATGATTCTAGTGAAGGTGAATGGTGTTTAAAATCACAGTAGAGCACTTCCTGTATTGCCACATGACATGGAACAGAGTATTTTTTTTATGTTTGAGAGAAGAGCTCAGCCTAAATATGCAGGGTTTGTGTGTTAAACATGTGTGAATGAAATAAAATACACTCCAGGTCTGTTTGTGACAAGGAAACAACATTACAACACAAGTCAGGAAATCGCGTAGTATGAGCCCTTTAAAATTCCCAACCCAGATCCAAATCAAAATGTCACCATGACGATGAGAAACATTGAACATATCCTGTCTTAGTCTTCCTGACAAGTATTCATTTTTTTACACTCCATTGTCTTTTCTTCCTGTCTGACAAGGAGCTATCAAGGCCCTGATAGAGACATCCCTGCTGTTCCAGGCGTGTTGACTGGAGTACGCCTTCGGGCACATGGAGCCTCTGTTAAGCATGGATTTCAAAGCTTTGACTGTTGTAAGGGTTCTGGCAGCGAGAGACCTGGATCACTGCTAGTACAAGCTGCTAGAAGAGCTGGCAGGGTCAGGGGGAGAATGTCAGTCAATATGTGGTAAAACTGCAATCTATTTACAATCATTAATCGTGCAGGCTTAGTGGTTTGGGTGGAGCACACATCATTTGGGCAGAAAGTCTATAAACAAAACAATTAACTAAGCATATTCCAAGGTATAGCAAAAGAAATATTCAATTCTGTCAGCTGGACAAAAGTTTTAGAGTGAAGACGTCCAAGCGGTTTCTTCTGTTCTTGTAAGTTTACTGGTGGAACACTGCTTGTATCTGTCTGAAGGAGGAGCTAGATACATTTCAGACAGATATGAGCAGTGTTGGGAATAGGGCTGGGTATCATTCAGAAGTTGTAGATACGATACATACTTCAATACATAGGCCACGATACGATACATATCTCAATACAGTGAGCTTTCGATTCAATACTATATATTTCAAATCAATTCGAAAATAAAGGCTAAATCGTGCCTGTGATACTAAAAGTCTTTGTTAAACTACTTCTTGTGCAAAGTGAATATGAAACACCCATTTTACTCATCAAAACAGTGAAAATGTCAAATGTGTTGCATATACAAGTTTCCTTCCACTAAACAAGCAGCAAAACTGTAGCGCTGTAACAAAATAATTTAGTAAAATATACCAAAAAAAAAAATTCTTGTTGATATATTGATATTGATACAGCAGCCCATGATATCAATACTGACATCACATTAAATGATATATTTCAGTATTTTTGCACACTCCGAGTTGGGAAGTATACTTTGAAAATGGATTTAATTACAGAATACTGAATACCTGAATTCAAATGTACTTGTAACTTACTGTGATACATGGGCCCTTCAGAGTACTGTGTTCTGAATACTTAGAATACTTTGATGCAGACTTACATATAAATTATAGTGTAGTTTTATGTTTATTTCTCTTTGTTCTGTATTTCATCCCTAATTAGAAAAGGAAAAAAGCACACGCTGTAAGAGGGATATTTTCTATTTTTCTCACAAATTTTTCTCAGTTTGAAGCCTAAATTGTATGA